GCATACTAGGATCAAGGGCTACCAAGTTTGTTTAAATGTATGACCTTGAATCATATTTAAGGTCACAAGGAGCAAATATGTTCAAAATATTTAAACAGCTTGTTCTGAATAACCAAAAGGCTCAGGATGTTGATATTTAGTCAGTAACATGCTGGGATCAAGGACTACTATGTTTGTTAAAGTGAATGACTTTGATTTATATTCAAGGTCACAGGGGTCAAATTTGTTTAAAATCTTTAAACAACCTCTTCTGAATAACCATGGGTCCCAGGATGTTGATACTTTGCAAGTTGAATCCTGATCTGAAAGACTATAAAGTTTGTTCAACACAATGACTTCGTTCGACTTTCAATCTCAGGGGTGAAATGTTTTAAAAAAAATTAACAGGGTATTTTGAATGCATTTTAATCATAAATACTGATACTTTGCCTGTAGCTTTATATTAGATCACTTTTAAGGTTATAAGTGTGAGATTTATACCAGGTGAGCGATGCAGGCCCGTTGGGCCTCTTGTTATAGCATGTCAGCTAACCACTCTTTGAATGATGCAGATCTTATTTCAATGCAAGAAAGTATATAACACTATATGGCATTCGACGGGCGTATATTGTTCCGCCCAGCGGTACTCTTGTTCATATTTTATAGATGTCACGTGTACATTTATCTCTTAATTACATATTAAAACAGTAGAGATTTAATTGTTTTATTTGATACTTATAGGAATCAGGACTTACAGGAAGTAACCATTGAAGTAGAGGGGCGTCCACCTCTGAAGATGGCAATAGCATATGGATTCAGAAACATTCAGAACATCGTACAGAAAGTGAAGCGAGGCAAGTGTCCGTACCATTTTGTCGAGATCATGGCCTGTCCAACAGGATGTAACAACGGCGGGGGACAAATCAAGCCTGATTCTGGGGAGGAGACAATGAAGGACAGACTTCAGCATGTGACAGAACTGTATAACTCTCTGTCGACACTGACACCGGACTGTGTACCAGGCATTGAACAGTTGTATACAAACTGGTTAGGAGGGGCAGACTCTGACAAGGCCAAACAGATGCTCCATACAGCATATCATGGTGTAGAGAAAATATCAAGTGCCCTTACTATCACCTGGTGATGACACTCTAGCCTAGGTTGTGAATTTATGACATAGCACGAGACAACATTTGGCAATGTTTAAATATTATCGATATTCTTATATCTACAGATGAGCTGTGATAATTTAGTCAACTTAAGTCTCAGAACTACACATAGTAGATAATTCAGCCATTTTGTTCTCCGTTGATAATTCGGTCACTTTCATTCCCAGCGTAAATGGCTGGATTGTGATATAGCTGAATCAGGAAAAAACTGGGAAACTAGGACAATTCTGTATTGGAAAAAGACAGTTTGTTTCCTACCATACCTATTTAATACTGTGGATAACCAGATTAGTTGCTGGATTGATGTGGCTGGACTGTATTCCTTCATATTTTCAGGGTTCAATATAAGATCTTTCATATCAACAAAATTTAAAATGGAATATTTTACAATTGTTCATGGTGTTATAGTAGTAAAAGAATATTTTACAATTGTTCATGGTGTAATAGGAGTAAAATTAAGTGTTATTGCTACCACATTATGGTCATGAACAAGTACTATTTATTTATACAAGGAAACTATAGGCAGGGCTTTTTTGTTTATTCTTATGAATGAACAGTTTTGTCTTCAAAATGTTAACACTTTCAGTGCATGTTATTTCCTGGTGCACCTGTGAATGACAGTGGGAGGCCTTCAAAATTCTTTAAATAGGCTTCCCAAAAACAACATCTTACCACTAGGTCTTTCCTTATACATGTATCAGAATGAATAACTCTGGTCCAACTGTTATTAAAAGCAAGTGGCACTATAGTAAAATCAATGTATATTGATGGCCATATAGCAGACAGTGTTAGAATTTGACTGTAATTATATATGAGCACACTCGGATTAATGTGCATATAACATGCAAGCATGTCATCATAGTATGGTGTTAATTCTATTATAAAAGATATTAAAAAAGATATTTATTGTATTGTATTTATTGTTAGACTAGTGTCATGATCCACAATAGACAACAATGATTCCTTGTAGATATTTATTGCTGATGTCTACGTCAGAGAAAACAGATCTCTAATATAAACTACCAGAGTACAGATTAATACATCCTGCTCATATTATTAAGTGAATAGGATTAGTAATTCTGTCATTTTACATTAGTTTATTTTGAAGATAATGTCAATCTAAAAGGATTCTGGTATACTTTTGGTGTATATCAGTTCATAAAATAAATAATATCATTGCACAACTGATGCAATCATTAACAATGTTGTACTCTAAAAATCCATTACATTAAATTTCAATTCCAACTAAAGTAAACATTTATTGTTGAAGATGATCCTCTATTTTACCTCACCAGTACTATGGTGTCCCAATCAAAACAACACATTAATGTAAGATCACACACTGATAGTCCTGAACACATTGAATCCACTGTGAGCTGTGCTAATGATGACCCCAGGTAACTGGGGGTGCCAGTGGAGCTCTTTAATGTCAGTCTGTCCCTGGTGTATAAATAGGAGCTGGGGTGGTACATCCGGATCACCCTTTTGCTGCTCTATACTGTCTTTTTCTACACCTAGATCCCATATTGTTATCTGATCATCAGAACCTGATGCAGCAAACACAGAACTGTCAGTAGGGTTCCACTCCAGCGAGGTTATCGGTGCTGTGTGGTGTTTGAACGCGGCAACAGACTTCCCACTCTGAAAAAAGACAAGTGAATTAAATGTCACAAATGGTATTTAACTGTAATTCTTTTACATTTCCTGAATATGTGTTCATTACGGTAATCAGTCATTCAGTACAAACTCTCTATAATGATCAGTAGATGTTACCTGTCTATAATTAACATCCTGTCAATATAAATCATTAGCCTATAACAAACCACCTGTTAAAAGTTATCACCTGTTAATAAGAACACATGAAAGTAGGTATTACTTGTCTATAATGAACACCTATCAGTAGATATCATCTGTCTATAATGAATATCATGCCAGGAAGTATTACCTGTATATTATGAACAAGTAATAAAGTACCAACTGTCTAATATGAACCCCATATAAAATGCTATCACCTGACAATAATGATCACCTTGATCTATGCTGAACCACTACTCTTCAATAGGTTTCAAATAGGCTAAATACACAGGTAAATTAAATATCCAGATTTTAAACAAGAGAAATGTCACTAGTATTTACCTGGAAGAACCTTAGGTCCCACACTTTAATAACTCCATCATCACCTCCCGATAGGATGTAAGGTTCACTCTTGTTCCAATGTATGACATTGATATCACGATCGTGGGCATCGCTGGCTGTCAGCATACAAGCATTTGAAGGTGATGCTCTGGCATCCCACACACGGACTGACTTGTCTACTGAGCAGGATGCAAATACCTGTCATATTGAAAGACATTTTACCTGTAGGGTAATGGCTACACGAATTAAAATATAATGCAAGATCATTACATATTCTGTAGAGATGCTGTTTTCATCGTAGTTTTTAAATTTACTTCAATGTTTGGTAAAAAGAAGAAAGCACTAAATAAAATTCTGATACCAAGTGAACAATTCTTACCATCCATAGGTTAAAAGATGTAGCCATTATAGAATTGTTGTTCAAACTTAATAATTGAAAAAAATAAACATCCTGAGATAGTAAGTATAGAAAGTTTTGTGAACATAGTTGAAAGAGTTTTGCTGTGGAATTATAATGAAAAAAGAAAATTAAAATGAACCAAGGGCCATAACTCTTTATGTATTGCTGCATTGGGCCCAATTCAGTATGCCAATGCCACGTTCTGCCATCCAAAGAGGTACTCGCATATACTATTTGACAAATGTAGGTAACAGAATTTGAGATATAGTCTTGTTTAAGTAATTTATTGACAGACTGACAGATTGGGTGTAAACCTGTAGTTCCCTCTGGCAGTGGGGGAGTAATTATCACTATTGGAAATATCGGAAAGTGAACCTTATATAACCTTTATCAACACTTTTCATTGTTCTCCAAATCGTGCGGGACGCGAGAACACCCCAACCTTAATACCTGCAAAATATGTTCTGGTCGCTTGACCAAGAAAATTTAGCTCTGTAGAATAAAGCAAAGGCAGATGGAGCTACATTGTAGACTCACAAAAGCTGAGTTATGACTCCCTAAGGGTGAGCTAGGGCCCATTTAGGATGAGCAAGCTAGGACTTGCTAGGACTTTCTATGTTGTATCCTTTCCAATAAAAAATATCTTGCAACCATTCAACCTGAATATAAATAGGATGGACATTTGTGTCCTACAAACTTAACGTAGCCCCCAAGTTATATTGGTAGGGAACATATGATACGGGGAATGACTATGTGTTACTTGTGAAAAGTCAAATTTCGACTTTCAGTATGTCCCTACATATATTTTCTTATGTAAGATAAGCTTCAGATATGACATGTCTGTCAATTCTGTTGAACATGGAAATGGGATTATTGAAGAATGCAAGCTTAATATGACACGTCTGTCAAATCTGTTAAACAAGGCAATGGCTTAATTAAGAACGCTGGCTTATTATGACATGTCTGTCAAATCTAATGAACTAGGCAATTGGCTAAAAGAAAACAACTGTAGGCTTAATGATTGTATAGCAACAGCTGGTTAGTACCAGTAGACACCTACATTGGCTTCGTTGGGTGACCATTGGATGTCCTCTACAGAGGAGGTGTGTCCACTGAAGGGCCGCTGATCCACATGCCATGCTCCACCTTCTTTGGGGTTCCACACGTGTATATTTTTTGTACAGTCTCCTGTGACCAAACGTCCTGCAATAAAGCATCCAGTATATAGTATCTGGAGTGTGTGAAAACACCACATCCAGTCTACAGTATCTAGAGTGAGAAAACACCACATCCAGTCTATAATATCTGGAGTGTGTGAAAACACCACATCCAGTCTACAGTATCTAGAGTGAGAAAACACCACATCCAGTCTA